CAGCAGGAAGAAAGAAGCTGGTGTTCAGGGTTTTCAGACAGAGCAAAGAAACCAGAGAATGAACTGTAGCTTTGGGCTGTGATGGGATCCCTAGTGCCAGACCATGTCTCTCTTTCCTGGGATGTTGAAGAGGTCCTGCAGCCCTGTATTTGGTGACTCCTGGTGAATCACCATGCTCATTCTTCATTTCTCTAGTCCCCACCTATTATAGATTTTGGAAAGATAATCATCTACACGAATAACCTGAAAATCATTCGAACTCCAATGGACAAGAGAGATTTCATGAGGAAAATGCTCCAGAAGGAAGAGGAGGCTGAGGAAGAGTCTCTGATGAGCAAAGAAGAAATCTATGGAGACCAGAACGATGGGCCCTTGGCAGAGACGGGAGGCACCTTCCCCCATAACCAGTACCCACAGGTATGTCAGAACGGTTCACTGCCCTGTGCAGCGCTGGCCCTATAGCCGTGGTCTCCAAATTGTTTTCACTGTGCACTATTTAAGTAAGAACTTTTGAATGTGAATACTTATGTGTCTAAATGTTAAAGATGTTGAGGAATTTTATTATATTCTAGTGGTTTATCACATTTTATTGTTAGCAATAATAGTTATAAGCCCATATTTCAAATACTCTGAATTATTTTGAATGATTTAAGATCAGTTTAGGAACTTATTGTTTTCCCTTTGCATTGAGGCTTAGAACAGCTTGTTCTAGAGATGGAAAAAATCAGCTCTGTCCTTTTCTTATGGGTTTGCTTGTGCTCCTATTACTGTTGGTAATCCTCAGCCCACAGTTTCCTTGAAGAAATCTAGTAAATCTACTTGTCTTTAGAGTTTGTGGAGATTAGTTTAGTTAAAACTAAGCAATATCATCTGTAAATCCACTAGACCACACACTAGTGAACCCCATGTTGTAATATGCTGAAAGTGAACGAATGAGCAGGGTCGTCATTGTCACTTTCTGTAAAGTGAGGTCACTTTACATCGTGTATACAACAGGATCCCTTGGGTACCACCTATGTTAAGTGACTGCCCAACTTAGTGAGGGTGCTGGTGTCACCTAGTTTATTAAAAATCAATATAACCATTTCTTATGAAGATATTAAAGCTTAATTTCTTGTTTTGTTTTCTTTAGATAAAAAATAAATATAGATAGTATGAATGTTTTTTCTCCCCACACGTTTCAGAGGTGTGCACAGCCCACCTTGCTCAGACATGCTCAGACAAGCAGGAAGGTGATGACATTCGTTAGTTCACAGTATGGGGTTGGTGAGAAAAGCAATTTTGGTGAATTTAAGCTAAGAGGGTAAAAGCTTGGAAAGCAGCAGAAATGAATTTTCTCTCTTTAGATTCCATCTCTTGGGACTTGAAGCTGAGCCTCCCATGGGTTAGCGTGACAAAATGGGCCAGGGGCTTCCTCGCACTTGAGTGATGTCAAGGGAATGAGAAAACCATGACCAGACTCCAGTTCTCCTCAGAACCATTCCTGTCTCTTTCCGACCTGATCTCACACTTGATAAAATATAGTTGAAATGCAAATCTGATCATGCCATCCCTTACTCACACCCCCCAACCCCGCCCCGCTGCCAAAAGAAAACAACTTTCAGTGGGCTCTTATCACTTGGCATAAAACCAAATCTCCTCACTTGTTCTAGAAAGCACTGTGTGGCCTGGCTTTTTCAGCCTCATCTCTTACACATATCTGCTAATTCTCTGCCCTATGCACACCGCCCATCTGGCTACCCCTTAGATGTTCTTTGCTGGCAACTTCCGTGTGCCTAGAATATTCTCCAGACTCCCTACCTCCTTGCCCACAGATCTCGGCAGAGGCATCACTTCCACAGAGAGGCCTCCCCTGGTTTCCATGAGGATAAAAATCCACAAGGATGGACTCCTCAAGGCACCTCCCCCTCCCCCTGCACATGTAATCTTACATTTATTTGTGTGATTGTTTGGTTAATGTTTGCTCTTACCCACTAGGATTTGGTCTCTATGAGGTCAGCGGGCATGTTTATGTTGGGTGTAACATAGTAGTTCCAATGCCAAAAAAATTAGAGCCTAGCATATAATAGCTGCTCAGTAAATATTAGGTAAATGTTTGTGGAAAGAATACTGGAATTTGGAATAAAAGTGCCAACTGATAAGAAATATTCTGCCTCTGCCTTCTCTTGCTTTCTACAAAGCACTATTCAGAGCCTAGCATAGCAGCAGTCAGACAACTAAACTTTATGATCCAAAGCATTACCGTCTCACTTTAAAATTCATTACTTCTATCCTTTTTCCATACCATGTTGTAACATGGAGCATGCATTTTCAGAAGAGGACCAGAAATGCAGGTCACATTGCAGGCCTGAATGAAAAAGCAACAACAAGCCTGCTATGACAATTACCTTTAAATTCAATTTGGAGAGAACTGTGTTTTTTAGCTATAATGCCATAAACCAAGACAGAGGTGTGCAGCAGAAAGTTGCTGTGAAAGGTTATACTCCACTTGCCTGTCCTTAAAGCTCTATTTTATTTTACTTATTTATAATTAATTAATTAATTGGTTGATTGCTTTTTGCCTGCATTGAGTCTTCATTGTTGCACGCGGGCTTTCTATTTTTAGTTGTGGCGAGTGGGGGCCACTCTTCATTGCGGTGCATGGGCTTCTCATTGCAGTGGCTTCTCTTGTTGCGGAGCACGGGCTCTAGGCACGCGGGCCTTAGTAGTTGTGGCACTCGGGCTTCAGTAGCTGTGGCTTGCAGGCTCTAGAGCACAGGCTCAGTAGTTGTGGCGCACGGGCTTAGGTGCTCCACGCCATGTGGGATCTTCCCAGACCAGGGCTCGAACCCATGTCCCCTGCGTTGGCTGGCAGATTCGTAACCACTGCACCACCAGGGAAGTCCCTAAGCTCTGTTTTAAATTGCTATTTGTTTGCCCCATCCCTCATGCAGTAAATGCCCAGACAACTTTTATGCTAAAACAGAGGGTCAAAGAACATCAAGGGGCCCATTCTGACCAAGAGACTCTTTGTTGTGTTATATGGAACAGGGAAACAGTAGGACCTTGATGAAAGAGCAGGGAGGGCTAAAAGCCAGGCCATGCTTGAACGTCTGTATTAACTATAAAAGAAAAGGAGAGGAATAATTGAATTGAGTCACAATGAAAAATAGACGGGGAAAAATCTGACCCTGTATTCAGTGGATTTGAGACCATAAGTCACCTGGGCTTCTTTATGCTTTATGTGATCTTATCTTTGAAACAGAATAATAATAATAATAATAATAACGGTCATTTTTTGAGGGTTCATGTTAGCCAGACCCCATGCCCAGTGCTTTCCATGCAGTAGTCCATTTCATTCTCACGAGGACTCTGTGAGGTGGGTATTATCTGTAGCTGGGGAAACTACGGCTGGGGAACTAAGGCTCAGAGAAGTTAAGTAACTCGCCAGAGGTCACCAGAGTCAGTAGTCAAACCCAGGTCCATCTGACTACCAATCTCATGATCTTAATCACTCTGCTTATCGGCCTCCAGATTGGTGCTGGTTACCATCTTCAGGGCCACTCAAGCCTTTGAGTCTCCGATGAAAGCTGAGACCCCTTTTCTTGGTCATGGAGCTAGTGAGAGGTGGTTTGGGTAGGTTGTTGGGTTCTAGAACCTAAGTTACGCTGTGCAGCGATGTTCTATATCTTACTAAATGTTTTCTGAGAAGAATTTTTTTTTTTTTTTTTGCGGTATGCGGGCCTCTCACTGCCGCGGCCTCTCCCGTTGCGGAGCACAGGCTCCGGACGCGCAGGCCCAGCGGCCATGGCTCACGGGCCCAGCCTCTCCGCGGCACGTGGGATCCCCCCAGACCGGGGCACGAACCCGCATCCCCCGCATCGGCAGGCGGACTCCCAACCACTGCGCCACCAGGGAAGCCCCTGAGAAGAATTTTTAAAAATATTGAGACTGGTATGCAGAGGCTGATATCATGCATGCCTTATATAGAGTAGAGGCTCAATAAATACCTGTTGAGTTAACTGAATGATTAAAAAGAGCATATTGAGAGCAAACAGTTGGAGGAAGGGTGGTAACTTAAGAATGGAAACTCCAGTGAAACCTCTAACAATGTGTCATATCACCATGTGACATGAGATGAAATTTGATTGATGATTTGTTCTTGTTCTTTATGGCAGGCTCACCAGGTCATTTCACTAATCTTTCAATATCTGGCCTGGCATTCTATGCAAATGAATTTTTGGATCACATGTATAGCATTATGGTAGGATTTTACTGTATTTTCTTTGACAACATTGACTTATATCATTAAAATCTCAGTGGGATCAAGTGGAAAACAAAAACATGATGGATTTGGCAGAAAAATGGACCATGGCAATTTGCTTTAAGAATATTTTGGCAAATATATTTATTCTGCGTACTTTAAGGGAACAAAACCAATTTCCCCATTGTTAACATATCAGAATACGGCAACAATCAGTAAAATATTAACAAAAGGGGGCATGGACATCATCTGGGATTTTGTCAGCTGGAAAATGACCTCCATTCCCTACATCTAGAATAAATAAAGTTTAATACCTGCTTAGGCACTTTGCAGTGCGATGGGGCTATTTTTAGAATGTAGGCCTCCCTTTTCAGAGATGATTTTTATTCTTAGGTTACAAAAGAAAGCTGTGTTAGCTGGTTGAGGCACCCAGTGAACTCCAGCTGTCTTGTTAGTTCCTAGAATTTAAGAACACTAAGGGATCTCCAGACATCATTGTTTTGTTTGTTTATTCATTCAGCAAGTATGTGAACAGCAAATATTGTGCCAGGTACTACACTAGATGTCAGGAAGTGATGGAGAGAGGCACGAGCCCAGAACACTTCCTGTCTAGTCAGCAGGACCTTTCAGGGGAGTGTGAGACCTGCCAGGCTGGGGGCAGTAGAGGTGGGGTGGGACTCCTGGTCCAGAGGTACGGGTGGGCAAGGCTTCCTGGAGAAAGTGCTGCTAAGCTGACATCTGAGAACATGTAGGAGCTGGCTGGGTTGAGAGTGGGGAAAGTTTCCTCGACGCCAGCTAGAGAGAGACCTAAGGATGAGAGCCTGATGAGAGAAGTAACTGACAATGTACATCAGCTAAGGAGATTTTCTTTTCAATACATTTATTTATTTATTTATTTATCTATCTACCTTTGGCTGCGTTGGGTCTTCATTGCTGCATGCGGGCTTTCCCTAGTTGCAGGGAGCAGTGGCTACTCATCGTTGCGGTGCATGGGCTTTTCATTGCGGTGGCTTCTCTTGTTGTGGAGCACGGGCTCTAGGCGCGCGGGCTTCAGTAGTTGTGGCGCACGGGCTTCATTGCTCCGTGGCATGTGGGATCTTTCCGGACCAGGGCTCGAACCCATGTCCCCTGCAGTGGCAGGTGGATTCTTAACCACTGAGCCACCAAGGAAGTTCCAGGGATTGGGTTTTAACCTGAAGTTTATCTGGTGGGCAGGTGTTCATTACAAGGTTTCTTGGGCGCTTTCTATGTGGCAATCACAACTGTAGGTTCATGAGATTGGTATCCATGGTGAGAACATCCCACAAGCCCAGAGGCAGGAACTATGCTGAGTTCATGCCAGAATCGATAGGTGTCTGGATCGGGATTGTGGTTGTGGAGGGGAAACTGAAGAGATTTGAGAGATGTTCAAAAGGTGAAGTGGACAGGAATTGGTGCTGAATCTACCTGGTATCGATCTGGTATTACCCTTTATTTCACAGAAGGTTCGTGGTCTGTGCATGGTCATTGCATGGCAGCGCAAAATTGCCAGTTTCCTTGAGATGTCTTAGGGGAAGAGCACAGCGATAGCAAAGGGGCATAGTCTGGTGTCCCTGGCAGGAGGGGACAAGGCTTAGAAGTAAACTAACTTTAATGGAGAACCTATAATATGCCAGATACTATATTAGGGCATTTACATATACTCTCTCATTTAATATTCCAGCTACTCAGAGAGGTAAGCAATATCCCTCCCAGATCACAGGTAAAGAAACTGAGATTTAAGGAGGTTAAGGGAACCGTCCCAGGTGCACAGTTGTTGTCAGAGGCAGGCCTCAGCTCCAGGCTGCTGACTCCAGAGCCGAGCTCTTAATCACAGGGTCTTTTCATGGCTCTCCAAGAGCATAAAGATAAAAGTTCTGCAGGAATTCAGAGCTACGCTCCAAAGGATTGCAACCTCCATTCATCCGTCCCCTCAGTCACACAGAACAATCCTGAGCACCTACTGCTGGGCAACTTCCATGAGGGCTGCATATGGAGTCAGTAGGAGCATGATCTCTGGCGCCCGACCCCCTGGGACCCAAGCTTGCCTCCTTCTCTTCAAGCTGTGTGACCACTGGCACAGAGAGAGCTCTTAGAATTGTGCCCAGGGAATTCCCTGGCAGTCCAGTGGTTAGGACTCTGCACTCTCACTGCCGAGGGCCCGGGTACAGCACCTGACACCTCCCAGGTGTTTCACAAGTGTTCACTATTAGTTTGGCAATGAGGAACATTAAGTCCTGCCCTTATGGGCACAGAAATAACATGTCAGATGGTGACAAGAGAGATGAAAAAGGTCAAGTTGTGCTGTCTTAGAGAGGTCCGTCAGGGAAATCTCAGATAAAGTGCTGAGCTTATTCTGTGCCTCTGGCCAGGTCCCTCGTTGGCACGTGTGGGACGCATTTTCCTCTAATTTTGCCCCAACCTTTGCAGGCTCCCAGTGCTATTTTGACTTGTGTGTGAACAGTGGATTTGAACTGCTGCTGTAACGTAACCCTGACCTGTCTCTTGCAGGAAGGGGAACTTCCCGAGGACAACTGTTTTCACTGCCGAGGATCGGGCAGTGCCACCTGCTCTCTGTGCCACGGCAGCAAGTTCTCGATGCTGGCCAACAGATTTAAGGAGTCCTATCGGGCCCTGCGGTGCCCTGCCTGCAATGAGAATGGCCTGCAGCCTTGCCAGATTTGCAATCAATAGCCCGTGGCTTTGTATGTCCACTTTTATCGCATCCTCCCTAAAGCTATTTGTAATCAACTGCCCCTCCTCCACTCTCTCCTCCCTCTCCCAGCAAGGAGGCCACCGTGGCTGCGATCACTTCCACCACTGGCACAACTCAGTTACTTGATGACATTTCATGAGGCTGGTAACATCTCCACGTGGGTCTACGTGGCAGAGGCATTTTTGAATTAGAATCTGCTTTGAAACTGGTTCTCAAATTATCCTTCCAGGATCCTTCAAGTGCATGTATCTCACTTGACTTAGCTCAGGTTTCTCCTTGCACAAGTGAACAAATAAATGTACAATTCAGGCAGCAGGCTGAAGTCATTTCCCGGTTGGGAGTTATTTGAAAAATTATGCAGAGAGAAAGGAATAAAAAAAGGCAGGTTTCTGACGAACTGCATTCTTGTTGCTTATAATGCATTTCACACAGTTATTGGTCAAATTGCATTTTTAATTAAGCAGAGGAGGAAAGGGATGCCCAATGTTGAATGCACTAGCAGGCCGCTGAAAACAAAACAAGATGTGTTTGCTTCTTGCTGAAGAGAGGCAAGCTGAGGAGCCCCTTTTTTTCAAAGTCCTGAGTCTCTCCTGTGTGATGTGCTTGGGTAATATGCAGGCAATGAGCAATGCTATACTTCTTAGCACAAGATGAGATAAGACATTTCTGTGTGCCTCTCTACACTACTGAGGTTATAAGCCAAGTCAAAGCTATTTATGATAAATTTGGTGCTTAATTATATGGGTGTGTGTGATAACGACTTCTTCCAGCCCCCAAATTATTACCAAATGAATGCATTTATTTTAAGGCTAAGATATAGCCATGATCTCTTCATAAAAGACTGTGGATATTTTATAGGTATCTATTGGAAACTCCTAAAAAAAACACTAACCAAGGCTGATATTTAGTAATTATGTTTCTACTGTCTATGAATATGCATACTAAGGATAATTTTTCCTCTTAAAGTTGGTTGTAAAATTAGAAAAATACGTTTGTTAAATGAACTTTTGCAGCTCTAACAGCCATTCCCCTTCCCCCTTGAGAATAACACTGTAAAATCTGTTATCTATTTATACGCATTGCTTTTCTATGGTAATTATTTTGATTTTCGTAACTTACTTTTTTCAAGATTTGTTTGTTATTCTCTAATATTCAGCTGTTAATATAATTCAACAGTGGAGTGATCTTCAGACAATATACATACTTCTAATAAAAATATTAAACTATTTTTCAAGACCAAGATAATTTTGCCTGTTCTCTTTCAGCCAAAACACTGGCACTATCACTCACCAACTTTCTTTGCTTCTGCACTTAACTATTTCCTGACTCTGTTTATGTTTTCTTACAGCTATTGGCTCTTCTGTCTTTCCAGAATATCAGAGGAAGGAATGATGTCGAGAGATCCTAAGACCTTTAAGTGTATTCTTCTGCTTTTTGACAGGAACATTCGACCACAGATACTGTTTGTTGGACATGCAAGATGGTATTACCAGGTGCTTGATGTGCAGTGTTTCCCAGATGGGCACCACCCTTTGGTATCTTATGGGACTTAGAGTTTCAGTGGAGGAGACAGTTATATAAACAGATAATTACAATATAGTGTGACAAGTTCTGGGAAAGGGGAATTCCAGGGAGCATTTGGAGCACATAGACGGGACACCTAACGTAGCCGAGTGGCTTCCCAGAGGAAGAGGTGTGAACTCTGTTCGTTTCTTTTCCTTACCCCAAGCTCTTAAGAGCATTTAATACTTTTCATTTCATAATAAATACATCTACTAATGATTACATTTATTTATTCAGTTAAGTATTTATTGAATACTGGGGATGCATCACTAGACAAAACGGACAAAGTCCTGGTCCCTGTGGAGCTTACATTTTGGTGGGGTGATATTGACAACCAAAATATATGTATTTAGAGACAACTCAAAATATGTAATACAGAATAAAAAGATACCTATCTGATTAAACTATATACGTATGTATATAATGTATAGTGTGTTAGAGAAGAATAAATGTTTGATGAAAAATAAAACATTGGGGCTTCCCTGGTGGCGCAGTGGTTGAGAGTCCGCCTGCCGATGCAGGGGACACGGGTTAGTGCCCTGGTCCGGGAGGATCCCACATGCTGCGGAGCGGCTGGGCCCGTGAGCCATGGCCGCTGAGCCTGCGCGTCCGGTGCTCCGCAACGGGAGAGGCCACAACAGTGAGAGGCCCGCGTACCGCAAATAAATAAATAAATAAATAAATAAATAAATAAATAAAAATAATAATTAAAAAAAGAAAAAACATTGGTGAGGATCGGGAGTTAGGAGGGGTTGCATTTTTAAATTAGTTTTCAGGGAAGTGTCCTTGAGAAGGTGTCCTTTAAATAAAGACTTAAAGGGGATGAAGGAGTTGCGAAGTTATCTGGGGTAGGACTATTCCAGGCAGAGGAAACAGCACAGGAAGGAGAGCATGGTGTGTTTGAAGAGCAACGAAGCCAGCGTGGCTGGAGCACAGTGAGCAAGATGACAAGAGGAGGTCAGAAAAGAAGGCGTGTGCGTGTGTCGGGACCAGGCGGTGCCTTCTTGTGAAACCGTTGTAAGAACTTGGTTGTTACCGTGAAAGAGGTGCTGCTCTGGATGGGAGCTGTTTTCTGAAACTCCTCACCCTCTCCTTCAGCTCCCTCCTCTTACTGCTGGGGCAGGGCACCTGCAAACTACACTTCCCAGTGTCCCTTGCCCGCTGGCGTCCTCTTAGGTTCCGTCCTGGGAGGTGCTGGCAGGACTGGAAGAAGGGAGGAAGGAAGAGCCTTTCTTGTTTTTCCAGCTGAGGGTCTTGGAAGCTTTTTCCATGTGGCAGCTGCCCTAGCAGCAACGGCAGCTGGGAACTCTGGCTCAGGCAGCTCCTTCCAGCCATGGTCCCTTCAGTGGCTCTGATTGCAGGTTCCATGTCACGCCATATTCCCTGTGTTCCTCCAGCCTGAGGGTGGCAGTGGCTTCCTGCAGTTACTCCTCTTTGTCATCAATTCCTTATAATCCGTAGCCTCTCTCTTTGAGATATCTGGAGTGAGTGGTTTCTGGTTTCCTGATTGGATGCAGACTGATACAAATGTTTGGAGCAGCAGAGGGTCACCATCCAATTTACGTTTTAACAAGCTACTCTGGCTGCTGTGTTGAGGGAAGATGCTACAGGGCAAAAGTGAAAGTGGGAGGCCAGTTAGGAGACCACTGCAGTAAGCCTGGTGACAGCTAATGGTGGCCTAGGCCAGGGCGGCTCCAGCGGAAGGGGTAAAGATGGTCAGATTGTGGATATATTTTGAAGGTAGAGATATGGGGTCTACTTACTGTCCTTTGTAGGCAGAAATATTGCTTGTGACCTACTTAACTGTATACAAAACTTTCCTGAGTTCTTTGCTTACTAGTGGAGATAAGTTTGCACAAAAATCCGCTTTCTGATTTGTATACTACAAGCATTACCAGTGGATTGGGCAGTGTCAGGGATAGGTTTAGGGCAAGGTTAGTCAACCAGGACGCCTAAGACTGAGAATTCCTTCAGAGCTAGAGACAAATTAGAGGGTTAGAAAGTATCACAGTGATGCTGTGGTCAAAATAAAAATAATGCTATATCCTTTGAAAACTCAAAAAATTTTCAATGAATACATGTTTTCAAAAGGCACACTATCTATCCATTCATTTATATTCCAGCAGGATCAGATTCCAGGAAGCTAAAATCTAAGCATTAATCTCTTTCTTATTTTGAGATTTAAAAAATATTATACATAAAAGACATTATATATAATATAATATCACAGTGTATTTGTATAGTCTTAGTAGCTATGTTTTTCTGTTTGGTTTCATAGACTTTCGTGTGTACTCTTCTTTGTTTGTTATGTGTACTCTTTTAAATCATGCTTCTATTTAATAAAGAATTAATAAGTAGGGGATTCAAAGATGAAAATACACTTAGTATTTCGCATTAATGAGATTATAATCTTGGGCCTCTGGTCAGCATAATGAGTGAATCTGGCCTTACAGCTCGGGGAGGATGCAGTTGCCTCCTCTGCTACTTCCTCCAGTGACTTTTGGTTCCTGTGCTGGCCCAGGTCAGCTGTATTGCAGAGTTAATTTACTTGTTTATTTTAACAAGTACATATCAGCTGTAGTGTGTGCAAGACACTGTTCTTTTTTTTTCTTTATTATAATAATACTTTTTTTTGAATTTTAGAATTTTATTTCTTTTTTTATACAGCAGGTTCTTATTAGTTATCCATTTCATACATATTAGTGTACATATGTCAATCCCAATCTCCCAATCTTCCACATCTACTAACACCTTGAATCGTCCTAACAATTGAATTAATTCAGTTTAGGGATCACCTCTTAGTCCTGATGCCAAAAACTCAGCCTCTCTGCACCAGTGCAGAACGAACTCTTTGAAACAAGAGTTCTGGGTGATGTAGAAAAGAGCAGCTTTACTGCTTTGCTAGGCAAAGGAGGCCACAGCGGGTTTGTGCCTCTCAAAACTCTGTGTTCCAACCTGGGGAGATTTGGTAAGGAGTTTTTTTTTTATAAATTTATATTTATTTATTTATTGTTGGCTGTGTTGGGTCTTCTTTGCTGTGCATGGGCTTTCTCTAGTTGCGGTGAGCAGGGGCCACTCTTCATTGCAGTGCGCAGGCCTCTCATTGCGGTGGCTTCTCTTGTTGCGAAGCACAGGCTCTAGGCACGTGGGCTCAGTAGTTGTGCCTTGCAGCCTCAGTAGTTGCGGCGCATGGGCTTCGTTGCTCCGCAGCATGTGGGATATTCCCGGACCAGGGCTCGAACCCATGTACCCTGCATTGGCAGGTGGATTCTTAACCACTGGGCCACCAGGGAAGTCCCTGGTAAGGAGTTTTATAGCAAAGCTTCAAGGGCGGAGTTGCTGATAGGGATCAGAGTGTGTGCAGGGCCTGCACTCCTTTAATCTGGCTTCCTGATGAACTTCTCTGGTTCCTTTA